TAAAGGCCAAGGGTTTTGTCACTTATGGAGACAATAATAAGGGAAGAATTCTTGGCAAAGGCATAGTTAGTGCTCCACCTTTCACATCCGTTGAAGATGTTCTTTATGTTGAAGGACTAAAGCACAATCTTCTTAGTATTAGCCAACTTTGTGACAAAGGCTTCAAGATCAAGTTCACCAAAAATGAATTCTTGATAGAAGACAAACTCACATATGAGGTTATACTTAAAGATAAAAGAATTAATAATATATTTATGATTTCCCTTGATGATCCATCTTTGAAGGTAAAATGTCTCATGGCGAACAACGATGATTCATGACTTTGGCACAAAAGAATTGCTCATATTCACATAGAACACTTGAATAAATTAATCAAGCATAATCTTGTCATTGGGTTGCCTAAGAGAAATTTTGTCAAAGATAGACTTTGTGATGCTTGTCAAAAAGGGAAGCAAACAAAATCAACTTTCAAATCTATGAATATGGTATCTACTACAAGGCCACTACAATTTTTGCATATGGACTTATTTGGTCCATCAAGAACAAGAAGTTTCAGAGGTAATGTATATGCTTTGGTTATTGTTGACGATTTCTCTAGATATACTTGGACATTCTTTTTAGTGCAGAAAAGTGATGCATTCAAGGAATTCAAGAAGTATGCTAAACAAATTCAAAATGAGAAGTCTTTAACAATTGCCTCTATAAGAAGTGATCATGGCGGAGAATTTCAAAATGCTCTATTTGAAGAATTTTATGGAGAATATGGAATATCTCAAAACTTCTCGCACCAAAGACTCCTCAACAAAATAGAGTGGTGGAAAGAAAGAATAGGTCTCTTGTAGAGCTTGCAAGAATGATGCTTAGTGATTCAAATCTTCCAAAATATTTTTGGGCGGATGCGGTGAGCACAACATGTTTTGTTAGCCATAGAGTTAACATAAGACAAATCTTGAAGAAAACTCCATATGAACTTTTCAAAGTGAGGAAACCAAACATTGTTTTCTTTCATATTTTCGGTTGCAAATGCTTTGTCTTAAACAACAACAAAGATACCCTTGGTAAGTTTGATGAAAAATTCTATGAAGGTATTTTTCTTGGCTACTCTATTTCTAGTAAGGCATATAGAAGTTATAACAAAAGAACTTTAACAATTGAAGAATCAATGCATGTATCTTTTGATGAATCTAACCCCTCCAAGAAGGATAATATTGTTTGTAATGATGATGATGATGAAATACTAGAAGGTCCTCAAGAAAATACTTCCAAAGATCAACAAATTCAACAAGAAGAATCACCCCAACAAGAATCAAATTTAAATGATCTACCAAAAGAATGGAGAACTCATAGAGATCATCCTATCGATAAAGTAATTGGTTATATAAGTCAAGGTGTAACAACAAGACTAAATCTCAAAGATGCTTGTCTAAACATGGCGTTTGTCTCTCAAATTGAACCTTACAAAGTTGACGAAGCCTTAGGCGATGACCAATGGATTATTTCTATGCAAGAAGAGTTAAATCAATTTGAAAGGAATCAAGTTTGGGAACTTGTTCCTAGGCCAAGCAACAAACACATTATTGGAACAAGATGGGTATTTAAAAACAAACTTGACGAAAATGGAATAATTGTTCAGAACAAAGCAAGGTTGGTAGCACAAGGCTACAATAAAGAATAAGGAATAGATTTTGAAGAAACTTTCGCTCCAGTTGCAAGGTTATAAGCTATTCGTCGTTTACTTGCCTATGCTAGTTCATTAAATTTTCAGCTTTTCCAAATGGATGTCAAAAGCGCATTCTTGAATGGATATATCAATGAAGAAGTCTACATTAAGCAACCCCCGGGGTTCGAAGATTTCAAGAATCCATCTAGTGTATTTAAATTGAGGAAAGCTCTCTATGGTTTGAAACAAGCACCGAGGGCATGGTATGATCGGCTAAGTAACTTCTTATGTGAAAAAGGTTTTGAAAAAGGTAAAGTTGACAAGACATTGTTTATCAAGCAAAACATAGGTGACACTTTTCTAGTTCAAGTCTATGTTGATGATATCATTTCCGGCTCTTCAAACAAAGAAATATGTGAAGAATTTTCAGCAATAATGCAAGGAGAATTTGAGATGTCCATGATGGGTAAAATGAATTATTTTCTTGGACTTCAAATCAAGCAATTAAAGGATGGCATCTTTATCAACCAATCCAAGTATTGCAAGGAACTGTTGAAAAGATTTGACATGGATAACTGTAAGGAAATGTCTACACCAATGGGTTCCGGTACATATGTCGATCAAGATGAATCAGGTGTTTCCATTGACATTACAAAATATCGAGGTATGATTGGCTTCTAATTATATCTGACGGCAAGCCGTCCTGACATAATATTCAGTGTTTGTCTATGTGATCACTTTCAAGCAAATCCAAAGGAATCTCATCTCATGGTGGTGAAATGGATCATGAAGTATCTCAAAGAAATAACACATGTTGGATTATGGTATCCTAAAGGTAGTGTTTGTAATTTAGTTGGTTATTCTGACGCGGATTATGCAGGTTGTAAAACTGATAGAAAAAGCACAAGTGGTACTTGTCACATCCTTGGAAATGCATTAGTATCATGGGCTTGCAAGAAATAAGCATATGTTTCTCTTAGCACGGCCGAAGCATAATATATTGCAGCGAGTAGTAGTTGCGCTTAAATATTGTGGCTTAAGCAACAACTTCATGATTACAGACGCGATCTAGGATGCATTCCTCTATGGTGCGACAATACAAATGAAATAAACATTACAAAGAATCCAGTCATGCATTCAAGAACCAAACACATCGACATACGACATCATTTCCTTCGTGATCATGTACTTCAAGATGATGTCGAGGTCACATTTGTAAATACTCATAATCAACTTGCCGATATCTTCACTAAACCTTTGGCGGGAGAACCGTTTTACAAGATTCGATGAGAACTTGGCATTCTTGATGAACACAACATATAAGGTGCTTTCTATCCTTTTTTATGCTTTCACATATGATTGATTAAGCTTTTTCAATATTGTTTTATTACTATCCATTTTATTGCATATTTCCCTTCTTTTTGATAATGTTAAAGGGGGAGAAGGATGTGGCACTTGATGCTTGTATATTTCCGGTCTTGAATTTATAAGGTACTCTTCAACCAAGATGAACAAATTCAAAGGATTCCAACCTTCTCATACAAAGGGGGAGTTATGCATTTTAGGGGAGAAGTTTATTTCCGGAAATTACAACGCATCAAGAAAGATTGTTTGTCATCATCAAAAAGGGGGAGAATGTAAAATCAAGCTTCTCAAATGCACTTTTTTTTGATGAAGACAAACCATTTTCACAAGAAGGCAAAGATTATTGATCAAGCTAAAAGTATTTGTGGATAAATTCTTTGGTTCAAGCACTTAGCAAATTTCAAGGTATACTAATAATACTTACTTTGAACTTAAGACATAGATGCTCAATGGTCAAAAAAAATATTTTATCTTGTCCAAACTTTTTCTCATATTTTATAAAGCAAAAATTCAATTTTCGCTTAGGTGCAATCGATTTGCATATTGGTACAATTGATTGCATGCTTCATGTTTTCAAAGGATTAACTATTGTTTCTAAGTGCAATCAATTTGCATGTTTGTGCAATCGATTGCTCTCAATCAATTTTTGCTACTGACTTCATGTGAAATTGATTTAAACACTTGTGCAATCGATTGCTCACTCAAAATATTTGAATTTTTAGTTGTTGAAACTCCGTGCAATCAATTTACATAAGGGTGCAATCGATTGCATGCTGAACGATTTTGAAAAACAACAGCTTTACTCATGCTTGTTCATAACACCATTTCATGGAAACCATTCACTCAATCTTGGTAATTGTTCATGATTTATTTGCATAATTATATGTTATTTCAAAAGGGTGCTATGAACATATAAATACTCATTTTCAAAATCATTTTATGTACCTCTTCCAATCATATTTTCTGAATTTTCAAAATTCAAACTCAAGCTTTTATACACTTTCATATACAAGTTTTCTGCACACTTTCACATATTGTCAACCACAAAACTTTGAGCATTATATATCTTGAGTCATTGTATACTATTGTTATTGGAAGAGAAGATCAATTCATTTATAAAAATCACTCAAAGTGATCATTGCTACACAAACTCACTCAAATCAAATATTGCTATATACTTGCTTATTTTTCAGGATTGTTGAAAATAAGTTCAAGTGGTTTTGTAATCTTGTTTTTCCAGGATTGTTGGATACAAGTGAAGTCGCTTTGAGAGGATTGTTCTCATTGTTGACATAGTGAAAATACAAGAGAATTGTTCTTGGTCCAAGTGAATTGTTCTTGGTTTTGGGTAGTTCTTGTTTAAGTTTGCCACAATAAGGAAATCTCTTTCATGTTCAAAGGGAACTGGAGTACTCTCGGACTGAGAGGGGAATCATAATATATCGCTTGTGTCTCTTTATTTTTCTGCACTTTACTCTTTCATAAACTCACCATAAACCAGAAAAATAATATCCATCATCACTAAAACCAGAAAATTTTAAAGTACCTAATTCACCCTCCACCTCTTAGGCGCACTTCGTACGTACGTGTTAATGTTAGAAAAAATATTTTCTTTTTATTTTACTTACCTATTAGATATTTATTAAAAACAAAAAAAAATTGATTTAATTGACATAAAATTTTATGTTAATCTATCTATTAGAGTTTCTAGATAAAAAAGAAATTAGAGTTTCTAGATAAAAAAACAAATTAGAATTTCTAGATAAAAAAGAAATTAGAGTTTCTAGATTAAAAAAACAAATTAGAATTTCTAGATAAAACAAATTAAAAAATAAAATAAAATCTGACTTACATTGACATCAAATTACATAACTCACTCATCTTTTCAGTATAAATATCTAGTTGTGCCTCTATAAAAAATAATACAATATAAATAACAAAATATAGTGCAAAAGAAATAAAAAAGAAAAAGAAAATGGGTAGTGAGAATGAGATCCCAATTTTGGATTTCAATAGGAATATTAGATTGAAGTTAGAAGAAGGGGGCGAAGGATGGAAAGAAATGAGCAAGAAAGTGAGACAAGCATTTGAGAGTCATAGTTGCTTTCTCATAAGGTGTGATGATATCACAAATGATTTACATGATGAATTTTTCACAAGTATGAAATCATTGTTTGATTTACCTGAAGAAACTAAGAAGAAGTTTTGTAGCCCAAGACCTTATAGGGGATACACTGCAAAAAGTTGTGTCATTCCTTATGCTGAAAGTTTTGGAATTGATAATGATCGTAATCCAGATACGGCTCAACAAGACTTCATTGATCTCATGTGGCCTCAAGGAAATCCAACTTTAAGGTAATTAATATTTTATCTAATTAAAATACATCACACACATATAGACTTGCTAGACATGTATGAATTTTGATTGTATAATTTCAGTTACATATTCTTTTAAACTATTTTGAGTAAAATTAGTTTAGCATATTTAATTTCAAAATAATTTATTAAAATATGTGATATACATGCAGTGCGGCGCTAAGTTCCTATAGCTCGAAAACTCGTGAACTAAGTTCTCTTATTTTGAAGATGGTTGTGGAAGCCTTTGAACTTCCACAACATTACAAGTTGGATATTGGAGAGTTGAATAACTACAATGATGCACGCATGACTAAGTATTTAACTTCTGAAGAGACAAAAGGTTCTAATATTGGTTTGGTACCTCACACAGACAAAGGAACTATTTCCTTCATATGTGACAATGGAGTTCAAGGTCTGTAGTTGCTATCGAAAACCGACAATTGGGTTGACATAAATATTCCTCCAAATGGCTTTGTGGTAGTTGTTTGTGATATATTGCAGGTAATAAATATCAACTTATAATAGAGAAATTGAGTTTATGCGAAATGGTTTTCATCATTCATTTATTTTTGTTTGTCTCTTTCACAATGCTTAATACAGGCATGGAGTAATGGGAGACTTGAGGCGGCCACACACAGAGTGGTGGCAAAGGATGAAGAGAGATTCGTATTTGTATTTTTTGCTGTGCCAAGGGAAGGCTTGATCATTAAGGGGCCATCTGAACTTGTGGATAATGAAAACTACCCTAAACGCTACCGTCCGTTTAACTATGATGAGTATGTTAATTATCATCATTCAATTGGATCACAAGAGGCTCCAATGGAAAAATTTGCTGGAATTTGAATCTTTATTATTATATGCAAGTCAATTTCTCTCATTATATTAAAGCAATCTAATTGGATGGACTCACCTTTAAATAAAGAAGTAGCAATCAAATAGCATGTGTTGTCTTCATATATTGAAAATAAAGTAATGTTCTTCTGAATTGCAATCTTGTTTATAATCTTATACTACCATATAGATAGACAGATACTATAATATGCATGATTTTTTTCGGACACTAAATTTTATTTTCTATTCTATAAAAACAAATTAATAAATAAAAGGTTTATTATTGATAAAAATAAAATAAATATATATATAGGTTATTTACCTTTTATATCTTTTAATTAATTCAAAGGCATACGCAGACTCAATTAAATATGGATTTGATCTGGTAAATCCACCCACACCGGCCGGTTCTCAAGGTAGGTTATTTCTTGAAAATGTCTTTATCTCCATTGATGATCAAACTGAGTTATCCTCCTATTGATAATGTACTATGCTAACATCTAAGACATTATCCTCCTACCGATGTCCAAACTGAGGTATAGATATACATAACTGAGTTATAGGTATGCATTTTGATTTTTCGGTTCTTGGTAGGGATTGATAACCACAACACTTTTAGCATTATTGCACTTTCTGTATTTTAGCATTATTGCACTTTCAGCAACACTTCTAAGATATTATTGTTTTTGAAGTTTGGATTCAGTTTATGTATGTTTCATTATTGCATTTTGTATTATTGTCATGCATTATTGCATTTTGTATCATCTTTGTTGGTTTGTGATCAAATGTGATGAGAAGTCAGAAGAGGAAGCAATGTTATATATTATAATTTATTAATCACTCTCTCTATGTATGTGTATATGATTATTAAGTAAGAACTTTCTGAATGTTTTTCTTTTGGTTCTTTGTTTTGGAATAAAAAAGATGATGATGTTTTTTTGTTGTTATTTTAATTGGTTTCTGAATTGTTTATCATGTTTATATTCTCCATGAACTAGTATTTTTTACTTGTTGGTTGCTTGGTTTCTTTACTTTTAATATTATATTTTACTGATATAATTTTCAGAATTGTTTAAGTATTAATACTCCTAAATACGGTGTTTCTGTTGGAAAGAAATATAATATGATAGAAAAGATTCATAAGAGATTTGTTGCTCATACAATTTTTCACAAAAAACTTGTCTAAGAACAAATTCTTAAGGTTTGTGGATTTAGGCTATTATAGCCATATACACACACACACACACACACACACACACACACACACACACACACACACACACACACACATATATATATATATATATATATATATATATATATATATATATATATATATATATATATATATATATATATATATATATATATATATATATATATATATATATATATATATATATATATATATATATATATATATATATATATATATATATATATATATATATATATATATATAACTTGTTTTTGATGATCCCTTTGTATTGGTGTAGTTAGTTGAAGACCATCACCGATTCAAAGAGCATCAAAGCCGCATCATCCGCCGTCGACACCAATAACCCCTTTTCTTTCTTTGGTAAGTCAAGTTCAAATTCTATCTGTATTGGTCAATTAAAAAACACAATTATTTTTATATAGATAGATTTATTTTTAGTCAATGTTAATAACTCTAGAAATAAATTTCTAGAAATAATTCGTTTAATTCAAACAAAAAGAGAATAATCCGTTTATAGTGTTTTTCTTTACTTGAATTAGTAGAAAAATGGATAAAAAATGGATGTTTGTTGATCGATTGTCAAAAGAGTACGAGAATGGGGTATTGGAATTCGTTAAGTTTGTTGTTGAACACACCAAAGACCCCAGTCGAATGAAGTGTCCTTGCTTGGGTTGTTGTTATGTGGGTCGGGTTGACGCAGATGGATTGAAATCGTATTTACTAATGCATGGAATTGATAGAAGTTATACGTGTTGGATATTTCACGGTGAAAAAGGTAACGACAATGTTAAACCGGGGGAGAAAAGTAGTAAGACCTATGCTTCAGACGACAAGGACACAGATACATACGATTTTGATCAAGTCGAAGAGATTGCAGATGCACTTGAAGAAGATCTTCAGGGTTATCCCAAAATGTTTGAGAGATTGGTAAGAGATGAAGAGAAAACGTTGTATAAAGGTTGCACTAAATTCACAAGACTGTCTGCGGTATTAAAGTTCTACAACTTAAAGGCGGGCAATGGATGGTCAGATAAAAGTTTCACAGAGTTATTAGCCCTTATGAGAGATATGCTTCCGGAGGATAATGTTCTTCCTAATCGAACCTATGTGGCCAAAAAAAATGTTGTGCTTTATTGGAATGAGCTATGATAGGATACATGCTTGTCCAAACGATTGTGTTTTGTTTCGAAACGAATATGCACCGTTAAATGAGTGCCTTAAATGCGGTTTGTCTCGATATAAGAAAAATTGTCTCCAGCAAAAGTCTTATGATATTTTCCTATAATTCTGAGATTTAGGCGCATGTTTCATAGTGAAACCGATGAAAGACACCTAACTTGGCATGAAGATGAAAGAATTATTAATGGAAAATATCGACATCAGGCAGATTCACCACAGTGGTTGAAAATTGATAATGATTATCCTGATTTTGGAGAAGAAGCAAGAAACCTTCACTTGGATTTATCTACTGATGGAATGAACCTTCATGGTCTTCAAAGTATCTCACATAGCACATGGCTTGTGATTCTAATGATTTATAACCTACCTCCATGGCTATGTATGAAGCGTAAGTACATGATTTTATCTATGTTAATTTTTGGGCCTAAACAACCAGGGAATGACATAGACGTATACTTGACACCTTTGATCAAAGATTTAAAGATTTTGTGGGAGAACAAAGTGGAGGTTTATGATGGATATAGGAAACAAAGTTTCAATTTAAGGGCGATGTTGTTTGACACAATTTACGGGAATCTATCTGGGTATAGCATTAAAGGTCAACGTGTGTGTCCTGTTTGTGAAGATGGAACCGATACGACGCGTTTGGAACTTTGTCAGAAAAATGTGTTTCTCGGTCATCGAAGATTATTACATTCTAAACATCACTATTGTGCATGGAGAAAAGCATTCAAGGGAGACATCGAACAACGTAAAGCTCCACCTACATTGTCAGGTGACCAAATTTTTGAAAAAGGTGAAAGATGTGTGTACTCAGTTTGGCAAGCCTTTTGCGCATACGGTTGTCAAAGGTGGGTGGAAGAAGAGATCGATTTTTTTTAATTGCCATATTGGAAGTCTCTGTATGTGAGACATTTTCTCGATGTTATGCATATGGAAAAAATGTATTTAAAAGTGTTATTGGTAAGTTACTCAATATTAAAGGAAAGTCTAAGGATGGCCTTAAAGCAAGGTAGGACATGTTAAAGATGAGAATACAAGCTGAACCTGGACCTGTGAAGAAAGGAAACCGAACATAACTACCACCTGGTGCTTTTACTCTATCTAGAAAGTGTTAGAACATAGTTTGATTCTACAACCCTTGATTAGAATTTTGATGATAACAAAATTCAAAGAATAAATAAATTCAAAGATATATATATAAAACAAATATGCTTCTTAAACTTATGTTTTGTATATAAAGAAGTTCTGATGGAATCAACATCAAAAGATCAGTAATATGTGTTACACGCTGAAGCTACCAGATTATACGCTGAAGCTTGATGACCAGAATCTGCGCATAAACAAATACACTCTGACTCTGATCAAAGATCTTTACCAAGTCATCAACACTCTGAAGCGTTATCATAAGTTAAAGCAAAGAAGACTCTGAAGCATTATCATAAGTTAAAGCAATGAACACTCTGAAGCGTTATCATAAGTTAAAGCAAAGAACACTCTGAAGCGTTATCATAAGTTAAAGCAAAGAAGACTCTGAAGCGTTATTAAGTATTTAAGACAGAATTAAATGCTAATGGCTCTCATTATACAAGATCTTCTTCAAAAGGAAAGTGCGTTATTGTCATTAAACTGGCTTTATGGACAACGTATATTTGCCTTGCCTATATAAACAAGTCTGCTTGAGAAAAGACACACGCATGCACTCACATAATTTGCTAAGCTTTCAAAACCGCTTATTCAAACGCTTTAGCAAATTCAGTTTATTTCAAGCTTAAGTTGTGTAATTATCACAGTTATGATAGATTGTTTTGTTAGAAAACGTTAACACATCCTTGTTCAATTATTTGTAAAAGATTTCCTTGAGATAAACCGGTCTGTGGTTGTACTCAAGAAGACTTTAACAGTTGTTAAAGTAGCTTTTGTAATCCTTTGAAAATAGTGGATTAAGTCCTCGTTGGAGAGAGGCGAAATCACCTTGACGGGTGGACTGGAGTAGTTTGAGATCAAACGAACCAGGATAAAAATACTGTGTTGTCAAAGCATTTGTTTTAAGTTTTACAATTCAACCCCCCTTCTTGTGTTTTTCACATCTTCAATTGGCATCAGAGCGCCTGGTTCTGAGCTTATAACACTTAACCGTGTCAGTACAAGATCCAGCGTCAGAAAAACACAATGGCAGGACCAAGTCAAAACATCAGCAATGACAACAATGAAGAAAGGGACAGATTCAGTGGCAAACCTTCAGTCTTTGATGGAGAGAACTTTGACTACTGGAAAGACAGAATTGAGAGTTTCTTTCTGGACCATGATGCTGATCTGTTGGACATGGTGACTGATGGATACACGCACCCAGTGGATGGACGTAGTCAGAAGATTGAAAGGAAAATGATGTCTGATCAGCAAAAGCGTGAGTTCAGAAATCATCACAAGGCCAGAACAATTCTCCTCAGCCCCATCTCTTATTCAGAATATGAGAAGATATCAAACATAGACACTGCAAAGAATATGTTTGACTCTCTGAGAATGACGCATGAAGGCAACATTCAAGTCAAAGAAACCAAAGCCCTTGCACTCATTCAGAAGTATGAGGCATTCAAGATGGAAGAGAGTGAAT